CAAGATACAGTGCTGAAATTTACCTAAAATCCTTAAATAGCACCTTCCAAACCCATGACCACTTCCATCCAGAAGGACAAGGGATGCAGGTATATGGGAACACCACCACTACCTGCAAATTTCTCTCCAAGCCAGTCACCATCCTGACTTGGTAATATATTGCCATTCCTTCACTGTCACTGGGTCAAAATCCTGGAATTCCCTGTGTAACAGCATTGTAGGCCGATCTTCAGCATGTGGACTGCAATGATTCAAGAAGGCAGCTCACCACCACCTTCTCAGGGGAACTTAGGACAATAAATGCTGGCCAGCCAGCGATGCCCCTGTCCCACAAGTTAATTAAAAAAAGGAAACAAAAGTCATGGGAAAAATACACAAATTAAAATGACATGAACGAAATGGGAAGTAAATAAGTAAAATAGCCACAATCACTAACTCTACATAAACCAAGATTCTTACAATGCTTTGTGGTTTGGTTCCATGCTAGGGTAACAAGTTGTTCAACTGAGCCATAAGTGGTGAAACACAATTGTAAGAATTTTAGAAAACAATTCACTGGTTGGGAGTTTATGGGATTTTAGGGAATGTGCTAGGAGTGGGGAGGATATAAAATCAGGTGGGATAATGCATTTCACCAGCAATAGGGAAGGTGGCTGATGGCCCTCCTACCCTTAGGTCAACTATTTTTAACCAGTGGACATTCAACACTTTGCCACATGGCGTGACCCACCAGTTATATCCTGGCAAATTCACTGTCAGGAGGTGGGATCTCTTGGCCAAGCCAGCGACACCCATGATCCACAAGTGAATTAATAAAAAGTTAATGAAGAGCCATGGGCCATGAAAGGATTGCTCCGATGCACGCACAACTGATCGATGCACATGTCCCTCTGTCAAGGCCTGCCTTACTGATGCTGGTAAGCCCAACTTGAATTACCTTAATACTAGGCCTCCAGCTTCATAGTTGATCCTGGCCTACTGCAGTCCCAACAATGGCCACTGCTCCAGAAAGCACTGTTGAGGGTGAAGACCTGCCAGCCTTCTAATGGGCAGACAACTCTTGTGACAGTATCTCATCTCTTAAAGGAGTGGAAAACCCGATTATAGGCAGCTAATCTTCTGAGAAACGTCATAACGAGGTGGGGACAGGTCAAGGCAGAGCTGACCCTGACTTTCTGAACAACTGCACTGCTGCCGCATGAAATCCTAACTGCTTTATCCAGACTGGAAAGAGGTAGGCTGTGAAAAACTGACTGAGTAGCCTTTCTTTAACGATAGCACCTGCATTTTATTTCCTTCTAAATAAACAGACGAGATTTGAAATGACACTGACGAGTGGTACTGATTTTTTTTTCTCAATCCCTTTTATGATGTCAAGTTAAGGTCTCAAATCTTTGGACTGGAGAACTGTGACAGCCAAAATACTGTTCTTCACACATTTATTTTTGAAAAGGCCAATTCCACCCATTATGCCAGAGAATAGCATTGATAGCTGAGAAGACAGAACTTGGAATAAATATAAACATTGTCATTCATAGTCAGGCAAACAGAATAATTAAGGAGACATCAAGGTGCAGGGCTGGATGAACACAGCAGGCCAAGCAGCATCATCGGAGCAGAGAGTGACTGCATAGGTGTTAAAACCCTAACTGGATTTAAATAGGATTGAATTCCTCCTGTTGAATCTATGAGAAAAGTGACATTCATTAGGAAGTTTCTTTTGAAAACAGCAGCTTGGTGCTTGGCCGAAAAAGAAAATTCATCCATCAAAATGTTCAGCAATCTGCATCTGAACTGAATGTGATGCAACGTGTGAATTCTTTCCACACTGTGTGACTACAACATTGGCTAATGCATTATTAATCTTGTTAGACTTTGAGAACTATCGGTTGCATTTAAAAATCAAAGCTCACACAAGTTAATTTCTGGGAATCTGTTATTATATCTCATTTTGTCGGACGCAGCAGGTTCTGCGCCTACACTGTCTCTCATCCCTTTCAAGCCATCGCTGTGTTAGCAAATGAAGGACACGTTGTGAATGTAAAACATCAGATGCTACGAGTGGCACTCTCAACACTGCACGCACACCACAAAATGTTCTCAAACTCAATTATTTTTCACTGGATACATTTTACGACTGATGAAGAAATAATTATGCTTTAGAAAGACTGTCCATTGAGATCTCGCTGAGTAATACAACAGTTGATTTTAAATCTGCCGGTACAGGAGGAACAGCAGAAGCAGGCCGAGTGCCAAATTGGAGGCAACTGGAAGACCCATATCTGTGTGGCCTATCCCCGGCATCACGTCCCTCACTGCCATTGGGTCAGCCTGGCTTTTGAAAGCATGCATGAGGCATCAACAATGATGAAATGCCTGCATCCAGTGATGTCTCTGGGTCCTCACTGTTAGTCATTCTTTGTCTCCAATGACAAGTTGCAGCCACACAATTTCTCACTCCCACCCAACAGGGATGTGAGGCCAGAGAACAAGCACACAGGGCCCCCAAATGCCCCGGACCCGGAGAGGGGTTGTGGAATTCTTTGCCACAGCAGTTGAAGCCAGATCATTAAGTATTTTGGAGTGATGGATATGGTTCTTACAGCTAAAAGGGATCACAGAATATGGAGAGAAATTGGGAACAGGGTACCAAGTTGCATGATCAGCATTGATCACGCTGAATGGCACAGCAAGTTTGAGGGGCTGGATGGCCTATTCCTGCTCGTATTTCTACGTTTTTAAATCACATTGCACTTCCTGGCTCAGACCCTCCCCTTCCTCAACCTGGTTTCAGCCTTTCCACCTCTGGCTCCAGTCCCTGGCAGACTAGGCCATGGCTGTCACTCCCCTTTTCACTTGTACTCTATGTCTGGCTCCACGAGAAGCAGCCTCTGATTGGGTAAACAGCCCCCCTCAGATTCTGACACTTCTGTTCACTTGGGGTGAGTTTTCCACAATTTGCCGCTCCCCGTCAGGAACTTTTCCAGGACGAATTCCACCAGCCCGCTACCCCCAGATTATTCATGCCTCTGGTTCCAGGCTCTGGTGGTCCCCACAGAGTACAGGGTTACCTCGATTTGCCTTTCCCAGAGAGGGATGGTTCCACAGCCAACCTCCAACCCCTTCCACATTGAGCTCAAGAAGCAGTCAGTAATAGGAAACTTAAATTGGAATACGGGACTTTTGAAAAAAACTTTCTGAAAGTTCTCATGACTCCTGCTCTGAATTAATACCTGGGCTTTAGTTTCAGCATGTTTTCTAGTTACAGATAAAGGCTGGTAAAGCATCAATCAATCAAGGATTTGCATGGCTCTGCCAGACATCAATGTACTAATATTAAAATATCTTCAACCATGCCGAGTTGCAAATAATATTTAGCAGTCAATAGATAGTTTGCTAACTCATTGATACAAGCTGTCAATGTTAAAGTGAGCTAGATGGGCCTGAAATGTACATGCCTTGTAGCCAAGTTTTAAAAGGCATATCAGTAAATTTCAAACGTATCACTAATCTAAAAAATTTGCCTTTATCCTTACACTTGTGTTCTGTCCAACAACCACTACTCTAGCCAGATGACCCCTTTCTTTCAAGTTCAAAAACCATTTATCACTGCTAGAGATCTAACAAATGCATCTCAAAAATCTAAACAAACTATAGCTGCTTTGGTTCCTTTACTAATCTATTTTTGGGCCTCAGGGAAAATCAGCAGGTCCCAGGAGATGAGGAGTGCTCAATCCATAAGATTTATGCCTTTAACAGCACTTATTGGGGGTCAGCATAAGCAGGAATGTTTCCTCAAGCCCAATGATTTGTTACGTGTACCAAGGTGCAGTGAAAAATGTTGTCTTACATGCTTTACAGGCAGATCCTACTATACAAGTGCATCAGGTTAACAGAACAGAGTGCAGGATACAATGTTACAGCTTCAATGTTCAAGAAGCTTGAAACCATCCACAAAAGCAGTCTGCTTGATAGGCACCACATCCACAAACATTCACTCCTTGCACCACTGACACTGTGAGTACCATCTACAAGATGCCAGCAGAAATTCACCAAGAATCCCGAGACAGCACCTTCCAAACCCAAGACCATTGCCGCCGAGAAAAACATGGGCAGCAGGTGTGAACACCATCACTTGCAAGTTTCTCTGCAAGCCATTGATTAACCTCACATAGAAAGATATTGTCACTCGTTCAGTGTTGCAAGGCTAAAATCCTGGAACTCCCTCCCAAACAGCGTTGTTGGGGGACATACACCAAATAGACTCCAGCAGTTCAACAAAGCAGCTCACCACCACCTTCACAAGGGTAGCTAGGGAAGAGCAATAAATGCTGGCCCAACCATCAATGTCCACATCCCATAAATAGGCAAAACAAAAGTAAGCTTGTGAGCTTCCCCATTGTTTGTCTGCTCGCTCTTCGATCTTACATTCGCCTCTCATGCATGCATTCCCTTCCACCAACCCCAATCACCATATCACATTCTTAACCACCCTAACTGCAATCTCTCCCTCACTCCTCTCCCGCTCCTCTGCCATGTCCTTGTGCTGTTGGTTTTCCCACCGGACTGCTAATCTTTCAATTAGGCTGGTTGTTGGGCAGGACATCTGGAGAAAAGGTCTGCAAGATTATAATGGAATCCGAATGCAGGGAAACTGTGTTTCCCATTGAGGCAGCTGAGTAAATATCAGTCATAGAGTTTAGGTACATCCTCTTGTAAGGCCTTCAGTTAAAATGTAAATCATTCAAAGAAATCAAATAAATTGGTTGGATAAAACCTTCTCCTGAACTCATATTGAATACTCCTGGATTATGCTATACCAAGAACATACCTGATCATAGTAATTAATTCCATTATTTGATCCAGTATTGATATAAGGCTAAAGTTCTCAAAGATGTGCAGCTGAATGAGGCAGGTGATTAACCTTTGTGTTTTTTTTAAAAGGAGCATGTACCAGTTGTAAAACTTTTTTTCCAGATAGCACATTAGTCCATGCTTACCATCTGCAACTTCAAAGTCCTTGAACGCGAGTTCAGATCCCGAGTCATCCAGCAGAACCTCCCCGTTCAGAGTGAATGTCATGGTGTACTCGTTCATATCGACCAGGCAGCCTACAACATCCCCGGCCTGCCATGAACGGCCAAAGTGCTCGTTGCCCTGGTGCCACCGTTGTGCCTTCGGGAAAAATTGCCTCATGTTGAATGTTAAGCAGAACAGAGTAATATCTTAGCACATCCTGTCATTGCCCAGTCATATAGTGGGTAAATATGGTGGCAATACTTTGGAAAAACTCGAGACAAGACATGGAGGGTTTTCCTTTCATATTAAATTCCATCATTTCCAGCAAATGTTCAGCTTTTGTTAAGGATGGGATAATCGGCATGCTTTTCTCATTGATTGAAAAAAAAGGTGAAGTCTGTTTTTTGGTGCATACATTCATCTCTCCATAAAAGACATCGTACCTGGCAATGATGCCACAGCGGGTTAGGATTGACCTTCCAGCAGTGGGAGACAGTGGTCGGGATGGTTTATGTTTCCTCAAAGTGCCCCTTGAGAGGGAGCAGTCAACAGCCTCGACTCTCACAGCAGCGAAATTATCTGGGCTGGAGAAGGGCTGGCCTTCCAATTAAGGATGATGGCCAGGGTCTCAAAGTTAGAGAGCACATTTCAGAAGCCCTCTTTGAAGGAAGCAGCAGACCACGAAGCAAGGTAAGAAAGGGGGAGAGAGAGAGAGAGGGCACTTCAGGATGGAGGTGTTGTCTCCCTTGTCTTTTAAATCAATCTGAATTTAAACTGGCCTTTTCATCCGGAAAATCACTTTGAAGGAGGAACCGCTCTACCCGGGAATGGCTTTAGATTGGTCAGGAGTCCCAAGGTCTGCTGCCAGGATGCCACCTCCAGCCTGGCTTCTGCCACCTGTGGGAAACTGTAGGCTGAATGGAAAATTCCAGCCCACCTCCTTCAATGGCCTTGTGCCCATAATGAGCTATGCTGGTTACCTGCTATAGTGAGCAGTTAGCCCTGCCACCCCTACGGAAATGGACCAGAGGTGGAATGAGGCCAGGGAACTCAAGGGCATTGGTTTAAGGCTAAGAGGTGAAAGATTTAAAAGGGACCTGAGGGGCAACTTTGTCACACAGAAGATGGTGCATTTATGGAATGAGCTGCCAGGGCATGGGTAGAGGCAGGTATAAATACAACATATAAAAGACATTTGAACAGGAACATGGATAGGAAAGGTTTAGAAGGAAATGGGTCTAATGCAGACAAATGGGACTAGTTCAGTTTAGGAAACCTGGTTGGCATGGACAAGTTGAGCCAAAGGCCTTGTTTCCATGTTGCATTAGTCTATGACTCTATGATCATATGAACTGGCATATCACCTAGATTTTGGGCTCAAGGTCTGGACTCATGAATCTGCATGGCAACACAATAAAACAAAGAACTGCAGACACTGAAGGTCTGAAACAGAAACTGAAATTGCCAGAGAAACTCAACAGGTTCGACAGCATCTGTGGGGAGAAAGCAGAGTTCAGGAATTCATCATCAGAACTCAACAGAAATGCTGGCATGGGCACACGATGGTGTTCTGCGCAGCATGTTGCCACTTTTAAATATAATTTGTCACTGAGTTTGAAGGTATGAGATCATTACTGCTGCAGACCAAGTTTTGAAGTGTAGACAGTGAAATAACTCCACAGAGGCTGGTATCCCATCACCAAGTCACCCTTTATGTGGAAAGTCCTTGACTCTGGTACAGCCTCGTCAGAATCAACTCCCCAGGAGTCAGAATGTCTTACACTCCTGTTTTTATCCAGGCTCGCTGATGAGACCAGCTTAACAGCCCCAATCAGAGAACTCATATTCTATGTGGTCCACCTGCCTGACCTTTTTACAATCACTGTATCACACCCCCTCTGAAACCAAAGACATAGGCCCACTTTTTTACTTGTATCTCCTCCTGGGCAGTTTTACCATTGGGCCAGGTTCCTCCAATTCTGTCTCAGAATTCAGTATGGGTGGCGTGTAACACACAGTACCTTGTCTCTTGTGCCCTGAGTGTCTCAGAAAAAAATTCATTCTCTTCTTCAAGCGGCAAAGGTGTGGATCCGGCGACATCCAGCATGTCTACCTCAGAGGTTTATAAAATCATGAAGGGCGTGTATAGGGTGGATAGCCAAGGCCTTTTACTGAGGGTGGGGGAGTCCAAAACTGAAGGGAGTAGGTTTAAGGTGAGAGGGGAAAATTTTAAAAAGGATCTGAGAGGTACCTTTTTCATGCAGAGGGTGGTGTGTGTATGCAAGAAGGAAGTGGTGGAGGCAGGTTCAATTACAACATTTGTAAGGCATCTGGATGGGAATATGAATAGGAAGGGTTTAGAGGGATATAGGCAAAATGCTGACAAATGGGACTAGGTTGGATTGGGATGTTTGGTTGATGTGGGATGAGTTGGACCAAGGGGCCTGTTTCCCTGCTGCATGACTCTATGACTATATGTTGTAACTGTACCTGCATCTACCACTTCCTCTGGCAATTCATTCCGTATATGCACCACCCACTGCACGAAAAAGTTGTTCCTCAGGTCTCTTTTAAATCTTTCCCCTCTAGTTTTTATGCCCTCTGGTTTTAAACTCCCCCACCCTAAGGAAAAGACATTGGCTGTTCACCTTATCTATGTCCCTATTTCTGCAGGAAAAGACAAGCCAAACGTAGAGGACTCTTTGATCTGACTATTTCTACTTCCTTTGTTGATATCGACTCAAGGGCACACTATTTTTTGTTTCTCAACATACAAACCTTGAAACCATCAAAAACGAAGGACTGGTCATCTGTCCCCAGCTCCTGATCTGGGCGACAGCCTGGTCTGGTCCAGCCAACGCGCATATCTTCAGCAGTAACTGCTTCAAATTCAAAGTACCACTTCCCACTTTTCACTGCATAGGTTTTCTCAGCTCGGAAAATGCGGAACCTCTCAGCCACGCTGCTCAGCAGATCAGATCTTGCAGCTAGAATACAAGCACACGCAAGACAACAAATCATTTCTTGTACCACTAACAGATGTACGAGTTCGATACTGAAAACGATCTCAGACGAAGTGAAAGGTGAATCTTTCCCCTGCCCATTTGTGAAATGTCAACCTCAGAACCCAACGTCATGGTTGCCAACACTGATTAGGATATTCCTGGAGATGTGGGTATTTGATCACATGACATTTGATCAGATGGTCACTTCCTGGACCAATCTATTCACAATCCATGCAGTCTGGAAAAACCGTCTGCAGGTTGGAGGCCTTTCCACCCTAATAATAAATGCGGCATATAAGTGGCAAATGAATGCCCATTTTAGGATCTCACTGCTGAGGGACCAGGTATCAGGAAAGGAGGGTGCATTTTCTTCTGACGCTCTTCAAACTCCAGTCCCCACTAGTTTGCAACCTCCTTCTCACAAGCATCATCCTGGCCTGGGTCCCTCATTGAGGCTGGGCCTCTGGTGAGTGCACTGCTAGCAGAGCCACTGCCCCCTCTGCTGACACTGATTGGCAGCCACAACTTTCACCCCTGGGGTTTTTGATCCCACAGAAGTCTAGCACAACCCATTTGAGAATGTGACTGGCATTTAGTACAGCAGGCCTTTCCCAAAACAGGTGACACAGGACTCACCCGAACTGTTAACTCTGCCTTCTCTCCACAGATGCTGCAAGACCTGGTGAGGTTTTCCAGCAATTTCTGGTTTTGTGTATCTTATAAAGAGATTGGACAATGCTAAATGGCACAACTCATAACAGGCAGTTTTGAACGCACCGTGCATACTTAAAAGCAAATAACTTACAAGTTCTTGAAAACTGTGTAAATAATTGCAGGAACTGTAGTCAGGATGGTACCATGGTATCAGGAGTCATTCAAATCGTGGAAGGCAATACAAATGTGGTGGTGGTAGGGGAACGTATAGTCAAGAATATAGTTACTACTCCCTGGAGTGATGAGTCCCGAAGGATGTGCTGTCTTCCCAATGCTGGCATTAGAAGATCTCAAACAAAAACAGAAATTGCTGGAGAAACTCAGCAGGTTTAGCAGCATCTGCGGAGGGAGAAACAGTTAACTTTTTGAGCCTGTTTCAGAGTTGAAGAAGAATTATTGAACCCAAAACACCAATTCCATTTCTCTCCCTACAGATGCCGCTGGACCTGTTGCATTTGTACAGAAATTTCTGTTTCTGCTTGTCTCAGATCTCCAGCATCTGCAATCTTTGTTGTATTTAAGGAGAGCTCTTCATGGCTAGAAAGAAACTTGGATCAAGAGGTGAAGGATCTAATTATCATCATTCACATTGGTACAAACGAATTGATCGGACTAGAAAGGAGGTTCTGCTGAAAGCATTTTAACAGTTGGAAATTAAATTTAAAACCAGTACCTCTGAGGTATTAATCCTGGGATTAGTGCCTGAGCTATGGGAAAACTGACATAGGGTAAATAAAATCAAACAGTTAAATGTTTGGCTGAAAGATTTGTGTGGGAGGAATGGGTTTCAGTCCATGGGGCTCCAGTGATACTTCTCGAGGAGAAGTGAGCCATTTCGGGGGATGGGCTTCACTTGGATCCTGCTGGGACCAATTCCCTGGTGAATCAAGTAACTAGGATTGGAAAGAGGGCTTTAAAATAAATAGAGGTGGGAAAGGTTCTGGAGAGGCAGTGCAAAGGCTTATAGAGCAAAAGAACACGGTGACCTTGCAGGCCAGGATATTTAGAGGGTGACAGGAAGAAATGGATTGCAAAAACATTTTAAAAAGCAGAAAATCGAGTCAAATGAGGAACCAGTGGTAAAAAGCCACAAATAATTGGAACATAGGAATTAGGAGTGGGAGTAGGCAATTCAGCTCTTCAAACCTGCTCCACCATTTAACTTGATCAAGGCTGATCTTATCCTGTTCTCAAATCCACTTTCCTGCATGTTCCCCATAGCCCTTCATCCACTTCTCATCAGAAAATGGAATTTTATACATTACCACATCCAAATAGTTTGACCCCTGATTGGATCCACTATAAATTGTTCTAGGAAATAAGTCCTGGATACATTCTGAATTCTTCCTTGTGGTCACCTCTGCCAGTTTGATTTTCCCAATCTACATGCAGATTAAAGTCATTAATGATGAACGTGTTGCCTTTTTTACATGTCCTCATTACCTCCCGATGTATTCTCATCCCTACAGTACACATACTGTTAGGAGCATACGTGTGGATTATGTGGGATGAAACAGTGTATTCATAGAGCCTTAATGGAAACATAGTTATAAGGGAGATCAAAGTTAGGAATTAATATTCAGGACTGTGTGACTTTTTGAAAGGATTCACAGGAAAGAAAGGGTAGTGGGGTAGCTTTGTTACTATGATATGGAATAAATACAATAGGAAGAAAATGATCTTGCATTGGAAAATGCAGAACCGATATAACGGAGATAAGAAATAACAAGGTCGAAAAAGACACTGGTTGGAGTACTCTGTATGCTCCCTAACAGTAGTTGTACCGTAGGGATAAGAAAACTTCCAAGAGGTAATGATGGCATGTAAAAAAGCAAAACATTCATCATGGGTAATTTTAAGCTTCATGTAGATTGGGAAAAACAAATTGGCAGAGGTGACCACAAGGAAGGATTAAGAGCGTATTCAGGACTTATTTCCGAGAACAATTTGTGGTGGATCCAACTCGGGGTCAAGCTTTTTGGAGGTGGTAATGTGTAATAAGGCATGTTTAATAAATGATTTCAGAGTAAAGGGAACAGTGACCATAACCCCTCGATTAAGCAAAGTGTCTAAAAAATCACACCCTGACACCGCAAGACCCTTTCGTCCTGCATTGGAGTGGCAGAATTCATTAGAATTCTTTGACAAAGTAATAAACAGGCTGAATAAAGGGGAACTAATAAATATATATTTGGATTTCAAAAAGGTGGCTGATAAGGTGCCACAAATAGGAAACCTTAATAAGAGCCCATGGTATTAGGGGTAGAATATTAGCATGGTCAGAGGATTGGCTAACTAATTGTAGACAGACAAGGGACAAGGGATCAGTGCTGCGGCAATACTTGTTTACAATATATATTAATTACTTGGATGAGGAAAGTGAATGTGCTATAGACAAGTTTGCAAATGACAAAAGTAGGTGGGAAGGCAAGTAGTGAGGATGACATAAAGCGTCTACAGAAGGATATAGATGGGTTAAAAACTTCCCAGATGGAATATAATGTGGGGAAATGTAAGGTTATGCACTTTGGCAGGAAGAATAAAGGAGTTGAATATTATTTAAATGGAAAAAGACTGTAGAGATTTGCGAAGTCCTTGTGCATAAACCACAAAAAGCTAGCGTTCAAGATCAGCAGTTAGTTGGGAAGGCAAATGAAATATTGGCCTTTAGTTCAAAGAGAGGGGAATACAAAAATAGTGAAGCTATACTAAAACGAAACATGACACTAGTTAGACTACATCTGGAATATATAAACAGTTTTGGTCAACTTATCTAAGAAAACATATATTGGCATTGCAGGCAGTCCAGAAAAGGTTCACTAGGGTTGATCCAGGTATGGAGAGATTTTCTTACGAGAAGAGATTAAGTACGTTGGGCTTGTATTCATTGAAGTTTAGAAGAGTGAGAGGTGATCTTCTGGAACATATAAGATCATTAGGGGGCTTGACAGGGTAGGCGCAGAGAGATTGTTTCCCCTTATAGGATGGTTTATGACTAAAGGGCATAATCTCAGAGGAAGGGTTCACCTATTTAAATCAGAGATTGGGTTTAATTTCTTCTCTCAGAGTGCCATGAATCTGTGGAACTGTTTAGCATGGAGGGCTGTCAAGGCTGGGGTTATTAAGAATATTCAAGGCTGAGAATGACAGACTTTTAGTCAGTAAGGGAGCCAAGGGTTATCAGGAAAAGGCAGGAGAGTGGAGTTGAGGATTATCAGATCTGCCATGATCTCATAGAATGGTACAGCAGAATCATTTGTCTAAATGGTCTACTTCTTATGGTCTTGTAGTAAATACTGACCAAGACATCAGGGGTAACTCCTCAGCTCTTCTTGAAAATAGCACCAAGAAATCTTTTAAATTTAACCAAAAGGTAGAAGAACCCTCGGTGAAGCAAAGAGTCTAAAAAATTGCATTCGACACCGCAAGACCCTTTAAGTCCTGCAACGGAGTGGCAGCCTTGATTTTAGTGCTGCAGTTCTGGACTGAAATGTGGATGCACAACCCTCTCAACCAGAGGCAAGAGGGCTACACTTGAGGTATGGCTCTGACAAACTACAGAACTAAATCCAACTGGTCAGCTCTGAGGGGTCTCATGTCTCCAGAAGATTGAAAGTCACAGAATCATGGAATGGCACAGAACCAAAGGAGGGCAATCATTCTGTGGTGTCCTTGCTGGTTCTCTGCAAGTATCTTTCAGTTGGTCTTAGGTTCCTCTTTCCTCCAAAGTCCTTCTAATTGTTCTACTTCAAGGAATTATCCATAGAGATATTTGCTAAATCACAATATTTGACTGAATCTTCAATCAGCTTGTTTTTGTTGAATCATAGGCTTGCTGGTTCTACACAAATTCCCTGACAGGATGCATAAGTTTATCAGTACTTCAATAAAGCACACTGAGGAAATTTTTCCAATATAAGCTAAACCAAAGCAAGTCTCCAATTAAATACTTTGGCAGATGATATGCCACATTGACTATCATGTCACTTCTTTCGATGAAATGGAGTGTGGGTAAGTTTTGTTGCCATGCAAACAGCGTACTTCTTTCCTGTTATCAGCAGCTTGGAAATTTATTCTGCTGTAAGAAACTGGAGAAAGTGATCTTGTGGAATAAATAGCTTATCTTCAATTTATTCAGACCTCACAACCAACTAAACTCTGAATTCGCTACATGTTAATAATTATGTGGGCTGCATTCCTAGCCCAGTAAGAATAAATTTTGAAAGACTGAAATAGAAGAATTGCAAATAGTCACAATTTTATATGTTTCAAATGTAGGCTGATTCTAAAGGTTGACGACCTGTGTTGTGAATTCCTGTGGAGTTTCAGATCTTTCTGTATGTTATTGGTTAACATGTGTAAGGTTAGATGAGAAAAAGCCATCAGCCACAGCAAGGTTCACCCTATGCATTAGACAGTTTAATGTTGGGCACCATTTTCTCCCAGCAAGACAGAAAAAGGTCCATTGAATTTCAGGAAAATAAACTGTAGGAAATTCTTCCTTGATTCCGAAGGCAATCGAGTAAACTCCTGATGCCTAAGGCTAAAACTATAATACATCACTAAGCAGAGCTAAACTAAGTCCCTTGCTCTCTGTCCTAATTTCCAATGACATGAATTAAAATGACACTTTCATTTAGGAAAGTAATTTGAGAAAAGCAATCTAAGACGTAAAACAGTTCACTCCTTTATGGGTCCAAGGTAATGTCCTAGGATGCCCATGACTGATTCCCCATTATGTACCTGCTTCCCTTCAAGCTCAGGCAATGGGCAAAATTTAATATTCATGTTCAGAGCCTTCCCAGACAGCTGCAGAATTCCTAGGAGTCCTACATCCTCTTTTAGGGAAGAGCTAACAGAATTAAGTGCCCTTCACACATTGAACTGGCCAGCATTTGGTCTTTCCTGTGATCAAGGACCCGAAGGAGGAGAATTCTGCAAAATGAGGACTGTCAACTAATTAGGAGTTGGCAGCTCTTCATTGTCAACAGCTCTCCATTGCCAGCAGTGCCACTAACTGAGAGACGTAGATGCTGCCAGGAATGCAACAGGGAGAGGCCAACCATCATTGAAGAGCCTAGGCTAGAGGGGCGTGACCAGCTGGTGGGAGGGCAGGGGACTCCAATTAAAGGAAGGGAGTTGGCTCTGAGTAGAACTCCCCCTTCCATTAGGATTTGCTTATTAGTCCCCCTCAGATGCTCAATGAACAATGGGATAAGCCCATAATGGGCATTAATTACTGTTCATGATCCTTCCTGTCGCACACCTTCCCATCCAATCAATCAAGGTGAGGGCCTTCAATTCCACCCTACGTGTGTAGCCCATTTCCTCCCTTGAAATGTGCAACACTCCCCCACTTTCCCCATTAACTATTTCTTAATATGATCTTTGGTCACCCTTATTCTGCAATTGGGCACGCCCTTTCCATCTTGTTCTCACCCTCTGCCGGGATCCAAATGCGAACACAAAGGTCATCGACCTGCGACGTCAAGCTTGACTTTTAACTCTAAGGGTTTTGAATGAGTTAAAACCTTGCCTGTTAACTCTGCTTTTCTCTCTCTCCACAGACCTGCTGTGTATTTCCAGTATTCTCTGTTCTAATATGCTGGAATCAAATTTGACAAATTGTGTAATTATTGTGTTACAGCGGGTTCCACTCTGCAAATAGATCAGCACAGCAGTTCCAATTACAGACATTCTTCTGTTTTGTGCACAATAACATGTTAAGTTAACAACGGAGGAACTAGTTGCTATAGAAACGGTGCATGCTTCTACTGTCCATAACAGCTAATGCGTATTTTTAAACACCTTATTCCCTGCTGTTTTTCAATGGCAATGTGCTTTTCGGGGACTATATATATTGCAGTTCCGACCTGAAAGATATTCTTTTCTATCAAAGCTTACTTTTGAACTTTTCTATGCTATGATGTAATAGTCCCTACTTAACAACAATTTTAATCATTTATTTTTTTCTTTCTCCAGACCCATAAATGGCATAGGAGAAACTAAATCTACATAAGTCAGCATTTCTGCAATTTTTGATTAATACATCTCTCCTTACTGTGAAAAAAATGACACTTTTTTAGCTGTTTTCTCTCATTTCAATCTTATTGCATGCATGTGTCACTAATACCTAGTACACAAATATAATGGAGATCACAGTGTATACCTTTAGTTCAAAATGGAGTGGATTATAAAAGGGTAGAAGTTAAGATTCAGTTACAAATGGCCTTGGTCTAATCTGGAGTATGCTGGAGTATTGTTCTGGGCACAGGGACTCAGGAAGGATGTGCTGACCTTGCAATGGGTACAGCCCAATTCACTGGAATGAAATCAGATTTAACAGGTTCAATGATTAGGAGGAGTTGCATAAACTTAGTTTTTGCTTCCTTGAATATCGAAGGGTGCAGGGTGATCGAGTCAGATGTTTAAAATGATAAACTGATTCAGTTGGGCAGATTTTATTTCCTCTGTTGGGAGAATTTGAAACACGCGAACACAATGAAATCACAAAGCATTTATTCACTCGAAGGACAGTGGAAATATGGAATAAATTCCTTGGAATTAATTCCCTGCAAAGACTTGGGTGTTGGTTCAGTGAAATATTCATGGCAAAAGTTGTTTGCAATTTTTGTTGCTTTTTGTCATCAAGTGGTATGAAATAAAAGAGAGTAAATTGAGTTCAAAGCAGAGATCAGCCAAAATCAAACTGAATGGTGGAACAGGCTTTGGATAAAAGGAGTGAGTTGCATTTGTAATCTTTAGTGTTTAGAAGAATTAAACTGATCATGATCCAACATATAAAATCCTGAGGGGACGTTACAGTTGATTTTGAAAGGATGTTGCCCCTCCTTGAGAATCTACTAACAGGGCAGTTTCAAAATAAAGGATATCTCATCTATGATGCAGCAGAGGAGGAATTTCATGACATGAATCTTTTTGCAATTCTCTTCCCCATTCACCTGTGCAGGCTGAATCATTAAATATATTCAAGGCTTGAGGTAGACAAATTTTTGATCTGCAAAGGACTCAAGGGTTATGGGTGGCAGACAGGAAAATGGAGTTAAGGCTACAATCAGATCAGCCATGATCTTATTAAATGGCAGAGAAGGCTCAAAGGGCTGATTAGCCTAATCCTGCTCCTAATTCTTATGGTTGTGAATGAAAGATCTAGGTCTATTCTCATATTCCTTTCTGTAAGATTATAACTAATTATTCTCATTCATAAATATGGGAAATGCAGGGTCACAGGGATAGGGTAGGGGAGTGGGTCTGGGAGGGATGCCCTTCGGAGGCTCGGTGTGGACTCGATGGGCCAAATGACCTGCTTCCACACTGTTAGGATTCTATGAATATTTAAACACCATCACCAGAAAATAAAACATATGCACTGACCACCTTTCTTGAAATTTGTTCTCCCTACTATTGGGCAATCCATATTGAGTGAAACTCACATCAACCACTATATAATTACAATTTGACTCCCTAATTTTACCCATTAGAAAGGTTTTAGTTCACTTCACAATCAGGAAGTATGTCAACCTGCTTCAACAGTGGTACACAGTGGAGGTTTTGGAATCATTTTATTCAGTACATGCAAAGTAATCTAAACAAAAATCACTGAGTTGGATTTTGGACTTGGGAGCAGAACTGGAGCCAGAACAATCAGTGCCAAACCTGTATCAAAAGGAGCTACCAATACCCACTGGGTAATTAACTTCACCATAGGTTCCAAAGTGAAGATCTAACATTTGGTCAATTTGATCCAATTTACAGTTGTTGCATAGTTTGCAGAAAGTTTGACGTAATCAGTCAGTTGCTGGCTCTTGCTTTCAGTTCCACTCATACCAATAGCACTCATACTGATGCAACCCTGCTGAGGGGAAAACTTTAAGTAGGCGGCACATTTTCTCTTAGGTTTTTTTAATTCAGTTGTGGGACGTGGGCGTCATTGGCTGGCCAGCATCTATTAGCATTCCCTAGTTGCCCTTAAGAAGGTGGTGGTGAGCTGCCTTCTTGAACCACTGCAGTCCACCTGCTATGGGTTAACCCACAATGCCATTAGGGACCGAATTCCAGGATTTTGACCCAGCAACAGTGAAGGAACGGCGATATATTTCCAAGTCAGGATGGTAAGTGGCTTGGAGGGGAACTTGAAGGTGGTGGTGTTCCCATGTATCTACTGCCCTGTTCTTCTAAATGTAAGTGGTTGTGGGTTTGGAAGGCACTGTCTGAGGATCTTAGGTGAATTTCTGCAGTGCATCTTGTAGAGAGTACACACTGCTGCTACTATTAAGCATTGGTGGTGGAGGGAGTGGATGCTTGTGGATGTAATGCCAATCCAGCCAACTGTTTTGTCCTGGATGGTGTCAAGCTTCTTGAGTGTTGTTGGAGCTGCACCCATCCAGGCAAGTGGGGAGTATTCCATCACACTCTTGACTGGTGAGAGTAGATGATGAGGAAAAATCATTTTCATGGGCATCTCCGAACATTCAGCACAAGAGGGAGCATTGCAGAGGCATGGTTGCTGATCTCGTCATTTCCTTACGTCAGGATTGGTATAGTACCCAAGAAGAGTGAAGAAATAGCAACAACAGTTACATATAAAAATAAAATTAATCAAAAATAACAATACTCAACAACTAATTTCTACTGCTAATACACAACAGATCATCTTTTAACATAACATACTTGGCAAAAACTTAAAAAGGGTCTAAGAGAAAAGGAAGAGTTGGGATGTACCATGGTCCTGGTCTGGTGCCTCCAAATTATATCCATAGCCAAGAAGTGTCCGAACTGCTTCACGCAGACTGTCTTTGTTGGACTTTTTGGTGCGTTCATCCAAAAGGGTATATGGAACCAGACGAGGGTTTCTTCTGTTTTTGATGTCCTATGGCAAAAGAAGCACAGTTAGATGGAACAAAAAAATTCCTGCATTTTAACCTTGACCATTAAGCTGCATGTGCGTCCATCCAGTTACTTAGTTTTCACATTGGAAAGGGAAGAGAAATTGTCAAACTGTGATTCGGGAATATGGGAAGCGGGCAGGAACTGAAGTCAAAGATCAGCTGCAATTGCACTGAATAGTGGAACAGCCCAAATCCTCTTCTCCTACTTCTATATCTGATGTCTGTTCTTTGAACGGACAGATTATTTTTTGAAGTGTGAAGCTTCATGAGCACTGATTGAGAATGAGTTCTTCTCATATTCAACTTGCTCCCATGTCTGCAAGGGGACATAAGATAAACAGTCATATTGTATCAAGCTCTGGAGCATCAGATGTGCAGAAACAGCGAATATGTCTTTATGCCAATAAATTCTCACAGGCAAATCTTCTGACTTCAGTTACATCAGCACGAAGAGGAGCTATGCAGAAAACAGACATTCGTAACCCAGCACTGAACCTTTGGCACACCACAGTTATAGGTTACCATCCTGAAAATGGCCCTTTATCCCAAATCTCTATCTTCTATTAGCCAATCCTCTATCCATGCTAAAATATTACCTCCAACCTCATCTGCTCTTATATTGTTAAGTAGCCTTATGTACAGTAACTTAGCAAACACCTTTTGAAAATCCAAATACATTACATCCATGGCTCCCCCTTTATCTATCTTGTTTGTTACCTCCTCAAAGAATTCTTATAAATTTATCAGTCATGATTCCTTCTTCATAAGCCAAGCTGACTCAGCTAATTATATTATGTAATTCTAAATGCTCTCCAGAATCTGCAGGGTTTTGCTTTGCTCCCAGTTTTTATTCCCAAGTTCGTTCTGAGGTTTTGACTGATTACTGAACTTGCATTAGGTCCCCTCTAACTGACCTTTCCAATGTGGAGTTGGGGAATGGATTATCAACCAGGATTTGTATTGTGTCCAGAAATTCCTGCTGGAACATGTGTGAGCAGTGAAAAGATTTACCATCTCAGCACATTCATCAAGAACAATCACTTGGGAAGGACATGGAAAGTAATAATGTTTTTAGGGGGGGAATGAAAATAAAAGGAGAAAATTGGTTCAAAAACCCCTCCCCAGACAGATGGCATACCAGATATCCACTGACATTGATCAGATGAGAAAGATGCAGACCTAGCAATGCCTTTAGGTAAGGGGGCCTCTCACTGGTACAGAAAATTCCAAGCGGAGTAGAATAACATTGCTCCATCGGAGGCTCCACTGATGATGTCACCTAGCATGGTGATGAAATATCTGAACGAGAACAAGCCAGCTCAGCGAGTAAGTCAACAACCTCACCCACAACCCGAGCTACAGATCTTTGCCAAAACTTTGGTACAGAAAAATCCAGCTGGTGTTAACTCCCTGTTGGAGAGGGCAGTAGTGTATCCAATCTTAGCAAACCACCCGACTTCCCCACTTGTAGAGAGTTTTGGTGGCTCAAGAATTTTCCCTTTGCTGAATGCACAGCATTAGAAAAAAAGAAAGCTGTGTTTATATAGCACTTTTTGAAACATCACAAAACACTTCTTTTATCCATTCTTGGGAATCAGAACATCACTGGCAAGGCCAGAATTTTTTGTCCGTTTCCGAATGCCCCTTGAGAAGCTGAAGGTGAGCCACTGTCTTGAATCGCTACAGTCCAGATGATGATGGTTCTGCCAGGATACTGCTCGGTAAGGAGTGCCAGGATTTGGACGTAGTGTCATTGTGGAAAGAACAATATGCCTCAAGTCAAGATGGTGTGCGACTTGAAGGGGAACATGGATGTGATAGTGCTCTTATGGCCATGTACTTCCAAGTGACAGAATTCACGGATTTGGGAGATGTCATCTACAAATGAAGTGCTTTTGCAATACGATCCTAGTGTTTTAGTGTGTTTTAGTGTTTTAGTGTTTTCAGAAAGGTCGAGGCCCGAAACGTCAGCCTTCCTGCTCCCCTGATGCTGCTTGGCCTGCTGTGTTCATCCAGCTCTACAGCTTGTTATGCTGAAGTCCACATTTGTTTACATTCCATTGAACATATAGAAAAAGATCACTTTTCATGTTGGAGTGATAAGGTGGAAGCGGTGGCGATTGTGGGAGTCTAGGATATATTACTAATGGGAGTTAGAAATCGGTTTCTAGTTTAGGCAGAATTGTCAGTTACTAAGCAATTATTTGTTTGTGTTCTATGCAAATAGTGTTCAGTACCAGAAATGAAGACTGTGAAGCTGCCACGGCAACATTTATTTGGTAAAACAGTTTTCTGCACTTCATAAATGCTTTTCAATTTCCAATATTTGGTCATAAAGGAGCTTGGAGCAGGAAAAAAAACTCAAGTAATAAATGTTAGTTCATGCTCTCGGCACTTCAGTCCTCAATTTGAAATGTCCTTTTCTTTAATGGAGGTGAAAGGGCAAAGTTAAGCAAAAGTTAAGAAATGCCATCTGTTCAGCTCTGAGCAGATATAAACCAGTGGTACAGATCAACTCTCAACATTAACCCTGCCGAGAAACAGCACGAGTTCAGCAAAATTATTTGTGGGCTACTGGGAGACAGCATGGGAAGGATGGGACTATGACTATGTCATACCAGCAACGAAGCTAGATCGTTTTGCACAATGCTGGGCTAGATCTACATTGCCAGACATCAGAACATTCATTGCAGCACCATACTTCTTCGTTCCTTCAGGGTCCAATGTGAAACAGAACAGAACGCACAATGGAAGAGAATTTCATGGTGTTCTCCCAATCTCTCACTGTCAATTCTGTCAAATATTGGCAGGAATCCCTACAGAAAAAATGTAGTTAGCTGCTTTTATTCATTTACACCACTTTTTCAGGGCTTCTGTTGGTCTACTGGTTAGTGGAAACAGATTGAAAGAAACCCAATGTTAATCCCAAGTAGTCAGGTTTATTTTGTGATGTATGGCACACGAATTCACTGTGAGGCTTATGTGGATGAAATTTATTAACAATAACCATATTACCTTTCCAGTTTATAAATAAACTGATGACAAACATTTAGCTCTGAAGCTAAAATATGAAAATATTGTGTATCAAAATGTTTTTACATGCATTTGTAGGAACAACATTTTATCTTGTAAAAATATGAAGGGCACCAAGAAAATTGACAGAATGTCAGACTGGAATGTACAATGCTTCTGTATGTTAATTCCCAAAATTAAGACAATTGCTATCATACATTTTCCTTCACATTTTGCGAAGACGGCTTCTACTTACATATTCATTCTGATTTGGCTTTCTGTGATATTTCCAAAAGTGATTTGGTAAGGTGACCAACAACAGATTAATTTGCATGAATGGGTAAAGTCGCCGTAGTCCCATGAGATAGGTTAACAATCAGGAAGCACACTGTGGAAATTAACGAGGCTTTTTCAAGAGGAATCCACAAGGATCAGAGCTAGCTCTCAGCTATGCAAAACCTACATGGGGATCTTGTGATGCAGTGGTTCTGTACCTACCTCTGAGCTAGGAGGCCTAGGTTCAAGCCTCACCTGTTCCAGAAGTGTCTAATAAAACTTCCGGAAACGTTGATTATAAAATAGCTATAAAATCTATGTTGAGAACTAACAGAAAGAGAGTTATGTCGTTAGGATTGCTGACTATACAAACTGTGGGGAAGACACAAGGAAGCTGCAAAGATATAGAATGAGGTTAATAAGTGGTCAACAAGGTGGCAGGCCAAGAAAAAGGATGAGTAAATGTGAAATTGTTCACTCTGGTTGTGAGTTTCAAAAAAAGCTAATATTTTAGAAAAGGCCTGAAACTAGTAAATGTCATTCAGTGAGACATTTCTATTATCATCCATGGAATGCAAAAAGTTAGCATGCAAGTACAGCTAGCAATTACAGGGAGGCAAATGCTGTGTTGACCTTTATTGCTAGGGGCTTGGAGTACAAAAATAAATAATTTTTGCTACAATTGTATATGGTGATGGTGAAACTATACCTGGAATTCTGTGTGCAATTTTGGGGGTTTTCCAAACTTAAGAAAGCATATAATTGCACAGCAATAAAGGTTCACCACATTAGTCCCTGGGATGAGAGTTGTCCAATGACGAAAAGCTAAGTAAATTATGTCTATATTCTCTGGAGTTCAGAAAAATGAGAGGTGATCTTGCTGAAGCATACATGATTCTGCAGGGGTTAAGACATGGTAGGTACTGAGAGAGTGTTTCCATGCTCATGGAATCTAGAACATAAGGATCCAGTCTAAGGAGAAGAGCTCATCCATTTAGTACTGAGATGTGGAGAATTTTCTTCACTCAAAGGGTGGAAAATTCTCCAAGTTTTTTCTGGAAATTCAACACTGTTGCAGCTCATTTCAACGTGAGACTAAACAGGTACAAAGGAGTTGAACTCAAGAGGTGAGGTGAGAGTGTCTGCCCTTGATAGTAAGGCAGCATTTGACCAAGTGCGGCATCAAGGAACCAAACAAAATCTTAGTCAATTAGAAATTAGGGGTAAAATGTTCCATTGGTTGCAGTCATACCTAAAACAAAAGAAAACAGTTGTAGTTGTTGGAGCTCAACCATCTCAGCTCGAGGTCATCTCTGCAAGAGTTCCTCATCAATTACCTTCCCTCCATCATAAGGTTAGAAGTGGGAATTTTTGCTGATGATTGCACAATGTTCAGTAACATTTACAATTTCTCAGATACTGAAGCATTCTGTGTCCATACACAGCAAGATAATAGTCAGGCTAAGACTGATAAGTGGCAAGTAACATATGCTCCACACAGTGCTGACATGGATTATTTCCAATGAACGAGAATTTAACCATCTCCCCTTGACATTCAATGGCATTGTCAATGCTGAATCACCCAGTATGAATTACATAGTTAAATCCCCAACTATGACCATCCTGGGTCAGTGAGCAACTCATCTGCTGACTGCCCACGCCTGTCCAACATCTACAAGGCACAAATCACTCG